TCATATTGTGCCTGTTTGACTATTCGGTCTGATGGCCAGTCAGGGTGCCGACTGGCTACCAGCTGGCGTGATGACTGGCGGTATACATCCTTGTCCTGCCAATTGCGCACCCACACAGGCCGCCAGTCCTCCCAGTCAATGACTGCCAGCCCTGCAGGCTCCTGGGTGCGAATATAGTGCTCTACAGGTTTCTTCAGCATCTGTAGGTGTGCCCGGAGGTTAACATTCTGTGGCACACCACCATGCACCGATGTCCCAGTTGAATCAAAGCGTGGATACAGGCCTAGACGGTCGTAGTAGAAGATGGTGATATTCTGGTTCACAAAACCCTCATTAGGTGAAGCCTCCACATCAAAGGCACTCAGGTCCAGTGGCACCTTGTGTCGTGGGGCACAGTCCTGTGTGGGCACATCCCATGCTACCACAAAGGGCCGGCCTGTGAAGATGGGTGGCACTGTGGGCTTGAGCTCCATGGCCCATGCCACCGCTAGCACCAAGGCCAGTGTGATGGTGGGGCCCAGGCCTGCCAGCATGCTGGGGGCTACAGGAAGTGTCACCTGCTTGGCACCAGCTTAGGAACTAAATGAAGGGTGGGAGAGAAAAAAATCAGTCTAGAGAATCCTGGAGGTGCCCACTTTAAGCCCATCTATGCTCCAAAAGTGCCCCAATGCTATGTGGGGCACAGTACCCCTGGTGGTTCAGACCCATCTACAGCTGTAACAGGTTTGAGAGACAACAGGCCATTGAAGGACAGGCAAGTTATCCTGGGGACTCACTACCAGGAGCATATGGCTCCTTCGTGGAACAGGTAGCCTATGGCTGGTCAAGAATCTGTTAGGTCTGTGACCCTTCTGGGAACTAAATGAATGAAGCTATGGACCTGCCGCCAGAACCTATACATGTCCTGCAAACCTCCAGTGCATGGTTTCAGTGAGCCCTAAAGCCCTGAACTTCACCCTGTACCCTGTGAGGAACCCTTGATCCAGAGAAACTAAGCATTTGGGTAGAGAACACAACTCATACAGATGCTAGGAAGCTGGAAGGAACACGGCCACGGAGCTGTATCTGTGCAACACCCGCTGTCAGGACTTAGTCGTATACGCAGGCACTCTCTCAGGCTTGGAGGAGGGCCCGCGGGGACAAAGGGACAGTGGACCTCCCACAGCCCAGCGGACAGACCTGCTTTCCCCTCCGCTGCCACGGGAATGCGCGCGCGCCCACACCGAGACCGACGGGTCCCGGGTAGAGGGCACTTCGCCTGGCCTTTGTGCGGGGACCCCGCCCCCGCCCTGCACGTGGGGTCAGAGCCCCGCCGGGTGGGGGTGAGGTTCCTAGGCCCCCTCTCTGGGGGCACCCCCGGGAGTTCAGAGCTCAGCCCGCCAGCGGAGAGCTGTAGGTTTGCACCGCCCGCCCTCACCTCACACGGGGCGCCACCGGGACCCGTGCCAGGGCCGCCGCCATCCTGGGCCCAGCCTAGCCGCTCCGGCCCTTCGCTCAGGCCCGGCACCGGTTCAGCACCTCTGCTACCTCTCTGCCCCCAGGCCCTCTGGCCCTTTAAGAGTCCAGCTCCGCGGTGGGCGGGGAACAGGATTGGGTTCCCGGCGGGTAGGTGTGTCTGCCTTTCTCGTCGCCAGTGCTAAGTTTCAGGTTGGAGGATCCCCTAGATCCTCTGCAGAGAAACGTGGCCATCTATTTGAGACCTGAAGCCCCTTCTAACGAGGATTTCCGTTCAAGTGCTAGCTACTAGTGTCAGTCGGCCTGAGATTTTTCTCCCCACAGTCCGTTGCTGGTGGTACAATCCTCTCTTCTTCTCTGTGGAGTCAACCTCTTAAAGGGACAGCATAAGGGCGGGGAGGGGGAAGCCGGGTGTATGGAATAAAAAGGACGGTGGCGTTCCCCGGCTCGGCCATAAGGAGGTGCTGTAGTACTCCGAGGCCTTGACTGGGGCAGCTGCTCATCGAACTTTGCAACCTCGAATGTAGTAGACGCCAGCACTGGGGCCCCTTTGTGTTGAGAAAAGGACTTTGACCTGAGCAGATGGGGCCTCCAAGAACAGTAATGCCCCGCCTCCTACGAGTCCCGAATCCCGTCCTCTTGACTGCGGTCTGAAGGGAAGCCCCGCCCACTGCCCGTCTCGGGTAAGGGGCCAAGCACCACTTCTTAGCCCTAGTCTTTAAGGCAGAGGCAGCAGTTGTCTGGCAACCTCGACTGTGGGTCACTGCGTGGCGGGAAGGGTTGGGGTTGGGAAGCTTGGCGGGTCCCAGGGGGGAGGTGGGGTGCCCCGAGTCTTCCCGGCCCATATCAGGATCAGGCCAATCCTTGGGATCCGCTCCTGCCCAGTCCCTGGGAACTCCCCGGGATCTCCCTCATAACTTCATAAGGGAGTCACTCTTAACTGAAGTTTCTGGCCAGACCTTGGATAAAGCCAACTGTAGAGACCCCCCGAGGCTTTGGTTAGGTATCCCGAGCTCTTTCGCTTCGCAGGCTCCTCCTGATGGGGGAGCAGGCTTGGAGCTGGACCAGGACGAGCCCTGTGCAAGACCTCGCCTCTTCTTAAATCCGCTCCGCAGTGCGGGACTCCGCTCCCTCAAATGTCCGCGTCTGCGCCGCCAGCCCCTTCCCCGCCCGGCGCCTGAGAGGAGATAGGTAGCGCCACAGCAAGCCCATCTATGGCAACGCAGACTACCAGCCTTCTGCAGTCTGCGCTGGGCTCACCTGTCTGGGAGTCCGTCGGCCCAGTAGGTCGGCGGCCTCCCTCTTTCCTGGAGTGAACTTCTCCAGCCAGGATACGTTCACCAGCTGCTGCCCGCTGGGCAGCCTGCCGGCGACTTGATAAACCCCATTCCCTCCCACCCGCTCCCGCCTCCCATTCCAGCCCTTTCTCCTCACTTCCTGCTGCCCCTCTGAGAGGAAAAGGCCAGGAAAGGCGCGAGGGAGGAGATTGCCTTGACCCTGTTTTCCTCTGGCATGCTCTCCTGGCTGGCTGCCCTCCCCACCCTTCTCCTGTAGGATCTGGCCCCACCAGCTGTGCCAGGTGACAGGAAGGCTATGAGCCCAGGCTCAGGAGTCAGTCTCCCTGATGCCCACAATTTCCTTAACTCTCCTCACCAACTTTTCCTTGGGGTTTGGGCTCATTCTCATTTAGTAGGGTGTTGAGGAGGTACAGGCCTTGGTCTTTTGGGAGAATCAAACTATCTGGGGGGTGTTCAACTGATGGCCTCCTACAGCAGGTGTCAAATAAGGGAGCCAATCCTGGGAGATGGGGGGAGAGGGTTGGGGGAACTTCTGGGAGCTGGGTCATTTTTTTTTTTTTCCACCAAGAGCAGAAGTGTCTCAAGTGTGACAGAGAGGACAATACTTGATGTGTGTGAATGTGGGATAGGGGTGGGGCAAGGCCTGCAGAGTGCTATCCAGCTGGAGGACATTCCTGGGTAGATTTCACTGAGTCCACTACAGAGTGGCTCTTTGCCAAAGTGGAGAGAGAAGGGGGGGTGTTTCTTTGGGAGGGGAAGTTCATGTGGCTGGCTTCACCTCTCCAATGCACAGGGCCCCTCTCCTGGCTGTGTGGGAGTCTCGGGGAGGTGAGTGCATAATCTGGAGTCTGGCTGTGAGGACCCAGGAGTCCAGGATATGACAGGAGTGGGTGCAGTGTCCCTGTACCACTGTGCTGGCTTCAGAAGGGACAGAGGCCTAGGAAGCTACCAGGGTGGGGACCCCTGGGAAAACAAAGGCCGGACCAGACTGTCCCAGGGCAGGGACACTTCCTCAAGCTGTCAGCAGGAAGGAAGTGAGCACAGCCCAGTGGGAGGGAGTGGGGAAGCACTGCCTGACTCCCATTGTTTCCAGCTTTGGGGTCAGCTGAGAAGGCTGAGCACAGGGAGTTCCTCCAGGCTGGGATAATGATGGTGGGAGATAGAATGCTGTTTGTTATGGGAGAGCGCTGGCCTTTGAACAGACAGTAGGGTGGAGTGGAGGATGACAGGGCCTTAGGTTTGGCATCTTAAGGGGAATGGGAAGACAGCTCACAGAACTACAAGTCCAGGCTGCACAGAGTGATCCTACTCCAGATGTGACAAATTCAAGCCTCTGAAAGACTGGTAGGCCAGTTTCCCAAACCTAGAAGCCTGGGTCCTTGAATTTCCCCCTTCTTAACTGGGAGTTGAACTGATGGCCTAGCAGATAACCTGCTTCACAGCAGGCCCTGTAGGCAGAATGTTCACAGGCAATCCAGGTGTGGTGGTGTTATTCAGGAGGCTGTAATCACATCCATTCAGGAGACTGAGGTAGGAAGATCATAAATTCAAGGCCAGTTTAGGCAATTTAGCAAAAACCTGTTTTGTTTTTTTTTTAATGGACCGGTAATATAGTTTCATGGTAGTATGTTTATATAATATGCAAGAGGCCCTGAGTTCAATCCCTAGTGTGTATGTGTGTGGTGGTGGTGGTGGTGGTAGTGGTGGGGAGTCTATAGCACAGGCAGCAGAGAACAGAAGGAAGTACTGAAGGTTGGAAAGGAAATCCAGAGCTCACTCTCCCAGTGGTGGTCTGGGAGGAGAAGAAGCAGATGAAGTTTATATATGCCTGGCAGTATACTGTCTATGCATGTCTGGGCCTTTTTTTAAGTCCTTGGGGCTCAGGATATCAATTCACTTGAGGTCAGCTAGCAATGTTGCGACCAGAACTATCTAGGGTCATACTCTCACCTTAGGTCAGGTGGGACTAATTCCTAGTGAAGCAACACTACAACCTCTGATTCCGGGGATTTCCACCACTCTGATCACAATAAGACAGGTAAGTAGTACCCGCATCCTGACAGGCCCAGTGTGAATACACGGCCACCTGCTGGCCATAGCTGGAGTTGCCACAGTTAGAGCTCAGGCTTTTTCTTGGTCCATGCTGGAGATGGTAAGCCTGCCAGAGTCCTGGGCCCAGGCCTACCTGTTGATCCCAGAAAGTAGTCTAGACACTGGGTGTCACAGTCCCAGAGGATGCCATACTCATTTGCAGGATCTACAAATAATTTTATTGAAATTGAACAAATAACACAACAGTCTTCCTATGCTGGGGACCACCCTCCCCAAGCCATTTTCCACACTCTAGAAGCACAGATTTTGCACAATAAGAATTTAAAAAAAAAAAAAAAAAAAAGTAATTTCTATATAGAAATCAGACTCTGTCCCAACATCATCATAGACTAGACTATTTACAAACCTTCACATTTTAAGTATTCCTTTTATGTAAAACATAAACCCTTCCTTTTTGTGTCTACCAAGGGGATCCAGTACTTTCCCTTAAACGATACTGAAGGGGTGAGGATACTGTAGGGGAAGGGTGGTGGGCTCCTTATAGCTATTCACACCAGCCCTAGTGTGTTGTTCCTTACCACAGGGTAGTAGACAGTTCCCTCCCAAGTGGTGTGGGGGGCTAATACAAAGAATGGGTGGCTTGGCGCAACTCCCCATATGCACAGGCATCCACAGCCCATCCTGACCCTGGCCTGCACTCTCTCAAATAGGGGAAGGATAAACAATTAATTGCAGTGGGTAAGGATCAGTCCAGCCCTGGGTGAAGGGAGAAGCCTCTCACAACAGTCCCCATTTCTATTAACTGCCAGCAAACTGTCCATCTGAAAGTGGGAACAAATGGCAGGTAGGTGGGAAGAATCAGGCTGGTGCTGCCCCCAGCCTCTGTCCAATACAGGAGGAATCGAGGTAGCAAATGGCTGAAATGCTCCAACTAGGGGGTATGGGAAGTGAGGGGAAAGGAAGTTCTCATTTGTGTAAAGCCCCCATAGCCCAGGGGCTGGAAGAAGGCAGACTTTATTTGTAAAGTGCTGTAGCTTCTAGCAGGGCTTGGCCCTGGGAAAGCTTGGAAGGAAGCAGGCCAGGCAAGGAACCAGGAACCAGGCATTCCTGACTGGCATATGCCCTGCCATGTTTCTTGCAGGGGTGGCTGGGGAGGGTGGGCTGGTAAATCTGCCATTAGCCTTCACCAGTCACTAACCACCTCCTGTCCACACACAAACCAATATACAATTAACACCGAGGGACTGCCCTGCTCACAGCCAAAGGTTCTGGGCCAGTGGAGTTTATTCAGGGTTGTGGCCTCGGCCTGGGCTCCTCAATGGAAACCACACCTCAAGTCTGGGAGTTTCTTGCTGAGGCAGACGGTGTTTGTGTATGCCATCTCCCAGGCTCACACCTCGTAGAGAATCACAGGGAAATCCACATGGAGGCGGGGGGGATCCAGCTTCACGAAGCCCTGACATGGAAACAAAGGCTATGAGGGTCAGCTCAGGGTGTCTACTTCAGGAAGCTTCCTGATCCTCCTGGCTCCTCCCCCAGTAGACCCCACCTGGGTCTACCTTTACATACTTGATGAAGGTTCTATGACCTCTACCAGTCCCTCACCTGAGGAATCAGATTCTTATGCACCCGCCTCAGTTTGGCCCGCTTCTGCCCATTCTTGGTGACGATTGTCTCTTCGTAGAACTCATGAGCCAGATCCCCATCCTCGTCATAGAACATGGAGCTGTGTAGAGGAAGAAGAGAACAGACTGGGCTTGAGCCCCACACCTGGTCATGGCAAATGCCACAGATCACAGGGAAGTGTACCCAACCCCAACTGGGGAGGAACAATCTTGGTGGGAAGAAGAGAGGACACTACAGCTGGAGAATCCTTTTGCTTAGGTTTACGGTCTACTAGAAGGAACCAGGGAGCAGAACATTGGCTAGTGTTACCCTGTTATACCCTCAAGAAGAGAACCCATACCACAGCATACTATCCAGGCAACCAAAGTTAATTTCCATTACTGATCTGTTGTGTGAGAACAGCCATTCCAATATCAGTCCCTTCATCCAGGACTTAGAGAGTGGGCAGGGTGGTAGCATGGACATGTTGGTTTCACTCCAGAAGACAACTGGCCTAGTGCCAAAGATTGTGAGCAGATGTTTTGATCTAGGAAGGAACCTAAAAGGAGGAAGACTGCATCCCCCCTTCAAGTGGCTGGTGCAGTCAAATTTCCACTGTTGGATCTCCTGGTATCTACAGCCAAATCTCCATCATACGGAGTGCCCATCCACATGAGGTCATGCTGATGCTATTGTGTGGGGAACCTGGGGTTTAGGTCAGCACTCCATATCTGGAGAATATGAGGAGTGAGGATCCTGCCGTCCACCCTTCGCCCCCTCATACTCAACACTAGGGCCCTACCCTGCTTTCCCAGTCACTACTCAGAAGTCCAACCTTACTACTATGGGGGAAGGGATGAAGCCTAATCAGTTATTCTTCCATTGGAAGAACTGGGGGGAAGAGGAGGAGGGTAAAAGCCTTCAATTTGCAAGCTAAGTTTGAAGAGATGCACAGAATAGGTCAAGAGATCTCACAAAGGCCCTATCTTAGCTTTGCTGTGGGGCGTGCCTGCCCAGAGACAAGCCTAAGATCTTGTACCCTTCCCTAGAGAGACCTTTAGAGCAGCCAGGCCTCCAGGAGTCTACTCCCGATTTTCCCCACCCTTTGCTTGGATGGGGACCCGAAAGACCGAAGTCGTCCTAACTGGGGTGTAGGGGGTCGGGTGACAGGAGGTCTCGGTGGTGTGGGGTACCCGGCCGCCTGCCTGTCCTCCCAGAAGCCCACGCCCTTACCCGCGGCGCGTGAATACGAAGGGGGGCACCGGGCGGCCTCGAGGCCGCACCAAAGCTTGTTCACTGCCCGCTGCCTCCGGGCCGCCGCCCCCTGTCGTAGAGGTGAAGGGCCAAAGGCCCCGAGCTTTGGAGCCGCTGGCGCCCATGTCAGGGCCGCCAGCGCATGGCGGACCCCGCGGCCGCTGCGCTCTCACAGTGCAGTAGGCTCTATCATGCCCTGCCCCAGCCTCCGCTTGCAGGTGCTGCCGCTGCCGCCGCCGCCGCCGCCTTCCGCAGGCTCTTCTGTCTCCACGGAAACCTCACTTCCGCTTCCGCACGCTGCCCTCTTTGATTGGCTGCAGCGCTCGTCGGTCCGTGGGGCAGAGCCAATGGCTATCCTCAGATACTGGGCATCCCAGCATGCCCTGCAAGACCTCAAGTCCCGGCAGGCCACGCTCTCGCCAGCTGGGACAGCTCCCTCCCAGTAGAGCTGTGACAGCGCTGTTCTCTTGGCTTCTTCGGCGGACTGGTTGCCAGGTACGGCAATTCCAACGTCCCAGATCTCCAGAACTCAAGCCCTTTGAACCAGCACTCAACTCAACCACTTTGAACCAGCACTTTAGGACCTGACCCAGGCCAGGCTGTGGGGTACTTGTCTGGCTTCTATTTTCACAATGGTGTTTTGTGGTAGTTACCATCATATGTAAAGAAATGGAGCCCAAGGACAACTAAGGAACTGACCAAAATGTCTTATAGCTACACTGAGGTATTTAGAACTTCAATGTTCTTTCCAAATTCAACCTGAATGCATGCTTCACGAAAACAAGAATTCTAAATGGCTGTACCCTTCATGTCTAGTCCATAGCAGCTGATGAATAAATAAAAACAACTTCTCTCAGTTGTTGGTGTGTGCTGAGGGAATGGCTTCCCCTAAACTCTGGCTGTAGCCTATTCTTGACCCCATGACTGCCTGGGTCCCAATGTGCTGAATGATGACTGAAACATTCACACTCCCCCCCCCCCCAGGCTAAGGGCTGGATGTGTATTCATAACAAATAACAGCCTATATACGACGTCTCTAGAGCAGAGGCTGTAACCAAATAGGTCCCTGCACCTGTCAGCAGCTCCACCTCCCAGGCCCCTCTGGGTGCTGTCAGAGCCCACAGAGTGTACCTGGGCAGGCAGTATGGGAAGCATCCTGGGTACAGGCTGTCACAGAGTGTTATGGGCAAAGCTTTTCTACCTGGAATGATTGGAAGTTGGCCCAGTGGCTGGGGCTGGTCTATCCTTGCCCCTCTGGGAAGTTTCAACTCCACTGCAGTTTAGGCCACCAAATATGTATACATCTTTACATGGTCCATACTGACCTTGCAAAAGATGCCCTGTGAGCCTGTCCATCAACCTTGGCAGCTGCTGTCATGGCAACCATGGCAGCAGGCCCACAAAAGAGACAAAAGCAGGATTCTTAAAATCTTTATTCAGCCAATTCTCTCAGGCCTCAGGCCCTGATGATGACTGTCACCCCCATCCCTTTTCCCACAGGAGGCATTCATTTGAGGCCACAAAACGGACTACATACATTCACACACTTCATCAAAAATATCTGAGAGACAGACCCTGGCTTTGCCTGGCAAACAAGGAATGGGGCTGGCAGAGTGCCCACATTCACAGACCCTGGGCTGACCCAGGGATATCCTCTTTGGAGGAGGCACTGAGGCACTGTTGCTGTACTGTATACCAGCACTCCCTGACCTCAGGGTGTATGAGGAGTCAGAAGGCACTAGAAGGAAACCTAGACTCCACCTTGATGCCTGCCTTATTCTGAGCACCCACCCATGGCTCTGATAGGGTTATCCAGAAACTCTATTCAAGACCCAAAACACAACCTTCCCCAAGGTTGAGGGTCCTCAACCCTGCAAACTGATCCTGTTCTGTTTGTAGGGTCTCCAAGATTATCACATCTGAGACATGAATTAAGGAGATTCTTTCTGCTCCACCCCTGCTGCAAGCCTGGAGCAGCTCCCCAGGGAAGTCCTGGCCCACCGTGACCCAGTACACGAAAGGCAAAGAGATGCAAAGCCATACTCTGCTTCACCCACTGGTGGATGCAGAGGGCCAGCTTCTTCGCTATTCTCTGGGCTCATTCCCCCAATGGGGGAGGGCTTCCATGCACACTCATTCCTCAGGCCCCATGGGCCCTGTCACACTCACACGGCACGCTCTTGGCACTGCCTACTCTCCTCCTGCCACCCAGAGGTAGGAGAGGTCACCCCAGGGGGCAGGCATGCAGGGCCTCTTGGATCTTCTGGCGGCAATGGGAGTACTTCTGCAGGATCTGGCGGAGGTGTTCTTCTTCCTCTCGCTGCAGGATGCGTAGGAAGTTGTGTAGTTCAGGCATGCTGAAAGCATCCCACTGCAAGGGAGCAGAGGGGAGGTATATAAGCTGCAGTATATATGGCCAAACTGGAAGACCATCCCCAGAGAAGACCAACATATCATGGTCACACAAGCCAGGATTGGGTTTTCTAATATTTGGCTCATGCCTCAATAGTCTATGCTAGGATTCCTGACAGCAGTCTGTATAGAAGATGGATCCTACAAAATAGTCACCTCACTGAGAGGCAACCAAATAGAATGTTCCCCAGTTTCCTGTGGACAGGTTGTACTCACACTCTGAGTCTAATACTACTCCATAGACCCAATACCTTGTAGTCAGACAGCTTCTAAAAAGTCAATTTTTTTCTTTTGTTTTTTAATTAACAGGTCTAGGAATCAAATGCAGAGCCTAATGCATGCTAAGCAAATGCTCTTCACTGGGATATAAATCCAGTGCTGGAGATAGAATCCTGGGCCTTGTGCATGCTAAGAATATGTTGTATCACTAAGCTATACCCTCAACCATTAAGTAAAAAGTCTTAATGCTTGAAGGAGAGCATCCATGCTGTCCTAGGCCCATATATGTAGTTCTGATCTGGTCTGGGCTCACCATACTGTCAGATGGACTCCTGAACCTGCAGAGGAGAAAACAAAGCACCAAGAAAATTCTTCCTGATTTCTTGGGATAGGCCTAGGCCTTGTAGAGCTTTTTTTCCAGCCTGATTCTTCCTCTAAGCCTTATTGTAGCTCTAGCCCATCAGTCTTGTCCAATGACAACCAAGAAAATAAGGAAGACTGTGTACTCACATTCACCTCCCCAGAGTCATTCTCCTTTAGGATGAAGCTCAGGGTCTTCTCACTAGGTCCCGCAAGGAGTCGTAGACGCAGGGGCTGCTCATCATCTGACAGTTTCCGCAAGTACACTTAAAGCAAGGCAAGGGGAAAGGGATATATGATTATAGACAGGCCTAGCAGCCTTAGCACCTGCATGCAATAGATATATGCATATATACCTTCACAAAGGGTAGGACGGGGTAGGAAGCCTACCTTGGCCATGACGCTCAGCCCGTTCAAAGAGTGCAAACTTGCGAGGATCATCCACCACCAAGAACTTGCGCAGCAGGGCTTCAATAACCTCGTGTGCCCGTGTGCGTGACAGCACATGCAGGTGTTTGACAGCATCCTTGGGTAGGTAAAAGGAAGTCCGTCGCCTCACAGCTGTACCCCGCCCTGGGCCCTTCCGGGCATCCTGTAAGGAGGTCGGTTTCTTGTTGGAGGGCACTGAGACAGGGCGGACCAGCTTTAGCTGAACCTTGATGAAGCCTGTGTAGGAGCCATCCTTGTTCTGAAAAGAAAGAAAAACCAACCATGACAATAAGTTCCAAGTAAGACAGAACAGTCTAAGGTTCTGTCTGTGCACTTGGGGCTAGGCTGGGTATGTATAAATTGTTGCTTGGGCCCACCCAAGAATACCTTGTCTATGATTCTTTGGGCATCAGGCACATAGCTGGGTAACTGCCCTTGTCCAGACTCCCTTCCTCTGTCTGAGTAGTCAACTCACCAGGCTCATGAAGAGGTTGCTGTTGATCTGCCCATTGTACTCCTTGATCTTCTGCTCAATCTCAGCCTGAGAAAGATTAGGTATCTTCCATTCCACAGGATCATCCTAAAAGAAGGCCAGTATGGAAACAAGCCCTTGAGGAACCCAGGGCTTCTATGAAAAATGGCCTCTGCAGCAGCTCTTAAAAACTAACTGCTTCCAGGCGCAGTGGCACATGCCTGTAATGCCAACAACCTGGGAGGCTGAGGCAGGAGGATCACAAGTTCAAATTTAGCAACTCATCAAGACTCTGTCTCTCAATAAAATACAAAAACAAACCTGACTACCTTTGGCCCAGTCACTAAACCCATGTACTATGAACCCATTTGGTTCTGCATGTTATGGGTGTAGATGGCAAAAGTAGAATCATTTGGCTTTTCTTCACTGCCTGCCTAGGGTAATTTCAGCACTGCATATGGCCCTAAGAAGATCAAAGAATCAGGGTCAACTGAAGGTATATGGCCAGGAGCCAGAAAACCTGGTGAGACTCTGTGAAGGGACTCTAATTTAAAGTAAAACTACACTCTGGGGCTTAAGGTGTAGCTCTGTAACAGAGTTCTTGCCTAGCATAGGCAAGGCCTTGGGTTTGATCCCCAGAACCTCCTCACAAAAAAATAAAATATAGCAAACCCATGTTCCAACTGCACAGCCCAACTCTAGGGTCTTGGCACCCTAGAGTTGGCTTGGAGTCAGGGTTTGTCCTAGAGAAAGTAGCCCATTTTTCCACTCTGTCCTAGCATGAGGCCACAACCCATTGCAAAGTTAGAGGTGTGGGACTGATGCACATCCCTACTCTAGTCCACCAGACTAGGGTGATGTCTACAATGTCAACACTCCTTGGTGAGATTCTTGGGACCACCCCTCCATGTCTCAGACATAGTGAGGAAATCACTGTGACAGGTCATTTAGCATTGATCCAAGGTACACAAAAGGCAGCTTCAGGCTGGGCTACTGGAGCTGAACAGGCAACTTCCTGGTAGAGCCTGTTTTACAACTGTCAAGCAGGTGGGCTTCTGTACTGTCCTCTGCTGTCTGGAAATTTAGTTAAAAATTTTTACCTCCACCACTTAGTTCCCTTTCCCCCTGGGAAATGGATTCTTGCCGGAAGGGTGGAGGATGGGCCAGGGCAGCCAGGGCTCTGAAATGACTTTCTACCAAACTCATTTGGCCCCACTGCATCAGCCTTATTTCCTGTTGATGTCAGATAGGCCTTAATTGGAATGGGAGTGTCACAACTATACCTGAGATCACCACTGACCAATGTCTTGTCTCAAAGGAATTCTTACCAGGTCTTCCATAGAATTATGCCCAGGACAACCAGAGTTCTCCCTGACTG